ATATTTATATATATACACAAACTAGACTTGTATAACTAGTAATAGTGGTAAGTAACTCAACATTGGTCATGATATGGTCAACGTTCATTAAATTTACATTCAGTAGTTAGTACAATTACAACCTGCTCCTAATAAGTTGTTTTTCGGCCTTAGTTTTGCACAAGATAGCTTCGCTTTGATCCTATCATCGTCAAGAGAGTCGTCGGGGAGAGCACCATCTCCTACTGCATATTTTGCTTTCAGTGCTGAAATTACCGACTGCCATGTGATCGCTACATCTTCCTGTACCATGTTCATAATATCTTGTTGGTAATTCTTAGGGAAACTCTCTGCCTTTTTACGAGTCTTCCTCCCAGTGGGAGGGAAATACACCTCGCCTCTAGCTATCGCTTCAGCTTCAGCTAATCTCTCCTTGGTTTCTCTAGTGATATCTCTCTGACGCTTAGATTACATTCCGCACTTTTTTCGCCGGAGTCATGGTTGATATCTGTGTTTTTATTTCCATTTCTCCAGGAAGTGAATAGCGCCCCAAATACATCAACTTCAGCTGGGCAAGTATGGAACGCGGCTGCATCTTGAGTGACGAGTCTGTCTTGCCCATTTTAAACATATTTTTGATCTCCGGTACGTATTTTTTTCATAAGGGACTTTCTGTTCTGCTCACCAAACGGGCTGCGTCGTGCCCATCCCCGAGTAAGTTCGGGTGGATGAGAAGTCTTAGCTAACTACTGTTTAAAACTCTTTCTGCCGTTACGTACCGCAACAGCGTGTAAACATATTAAAGTATTCGCTGATCATATAGCACTAGCAAGTATATCAGCCCTATTTCTTCCACCAGCATACACGCCATCTCTCTGTGTTTCTCTGCGTGAACCTAAGATGATGTCCAGTTTAGATTGTTTCAAAAAATTCACGTGGGACAGTCGCTCTGATCCACCATCTGGATCACCGGCGCCATACCCTACGAGCTCTTCTGCTGCCGCAACGTCATTATAATCTAGATCAAACTCGGTATTAACTTGAATTCAGCGGCCAATTCAGACTCGAATTTTAACTCTAAATCAAAGTCGTCTATTTCGCCTGAACCTTCTGTTTCCAGTTCGTAATCATGTTGAATATTGTCATCTACTATGTCATCTTCTACTATATCGCTTTCTAAATCTCCCCCCAAGAATTCTTGGTCGCCAATTAGGGATGCAGAATATTAGCTTTTCTCACAATATATTTCATTCCGTAATCTGACTTTCCAATACTACAGTACAGTTCTATTCTGGCACATGCAATTGAATCAGATGTGCATCACGCTTTGTTTCCGGGGTCGAAATGCTGAGCCTAAAAATATCCATGCAAATTATTTACTTTGATATTACAATACTGTACAAAATTCTGTTGTCATTTCCCAAAAGCACTGCAACTCTTCGTTTTTTTTACATGAGCAGTGATACTCCGCGCAAATTCGCATGAGTAGTACACACATTACAGTAGTGAGCGCTAATTGAGTCATGTATCTGGTAATGGACTATGTGCTCAATATACAGATCCAGGCTTCAAGTATATCTTATTATTTAACATTTAGCTTATTGCCGATTATCTAACTGAATGTATATGAGAACAGCATTACATATAATATTGGCACTTTGGTTCATAGAAACATTGCTGGATTCTTAGCGATAAAAACACCGATTACACCACTCTTGCTTGTTCTTGTACACGTCTGTCTTCAAAACTGAGGAAGCAGAAACATCTTTTCCGTTTCCTATCGAAAAGAGCTCAACTATGGTATATGTGCACAATGATTATAAACAAATAGTTGCACAAAATCATTCCGTTGGGGCATGTGCTACATAGCTTGTCGATACGCTGCAACAAAACAGGAAACAAAAAACAATTCTGCAATACTTATCGATTCACGATATCACCTTGAAAGGAATGCAAAATGAAAAAAAACACCTATAACTTTAAAAGTGGCGAAGATTTAGTCGGTCCCTCTTCGGGTTCCGAAGGCATAATTGACATCGACCTATGGGTAAATTTGTAAGACACAGGCATATAAGGTTGCTTAGTACAAATGAAACCGATATATCTACTAAATGTCACGCAAAATATAAATAAGACTTATGGTCTTTGGATATGAAGCAAACGAAACTGGACTACGGAAAGAGAATTCAAGATACAGGAGTTCTCATAAGAAATTGAATATTGTCAATAAAGTTCAGTGAGTGTGCTGCGAGTGAGTACAGACGCGAATGCACAGTTGTGGTATGGTTACTGGTCTGTCGCACTCTAATCCACAACTTTGATGGAGCAATGTAGACTGTCTTGCTCGATATTCTTTTGCCCTAAATTAAGGTTATGTAAAACCTTGCTGAAGAATTAAACCCCCACATAATTAACATAGGCAAAATAGAATTGAAAGCTCTTTCGCGCAGTCTGAAAATTGGATGGGTGAAAAGCAGTGGGATGTGCGCAAGAACATTGTCACATCTTGATTGGATTGACCTTTTTGTAAGTTGCTTGTGTCGGAACGGATGTCCTTCAATGTGTCACAACTAGAGAAACAGCTCTGCCGTACCATAGACGAAGTGTCTAGTTCTTATTTAGCTCATAGACACGTTTAACCATACCTGACTTTATATGCTTATATACCTGATGTTGGCAATTTTAATCTACACCGGTTTATGTTATATATGAAGCCATACAATCAAATTCGAGAATGTATCCCAGGATGATCTATCTTTGAGTGGTAGAACATCTGGTCTGTCGCATTTTTTAAATGATCTGAATATCGATGGAGCGACGATGCCCCAAATATGAGATTCGTACACAACCCCTCTAAAAGTCAACTCTAAACAATAACCAAGGCAAGATTCTTTTGCTGTTTTGAAGATTCTGAAGGATATAGATGCTCGAGAGAAACGAAATCGGTGCGTTCAAAGTTGCTTCAAAAATACGTCGATATAAATAGATATGCTTTCTTTTCTCGCACAGTCCGAGGAACAACTTCACCGTATCGCAGTTGGGGTCGCTTCATTTCTCTTCTTCCTAAAATTTTTTCACACCCTTGCGCTCGTATGATAGTCTGATTCAAGGTTTCAAATAGTCCTAGATTGGATGAGACCTTGTTGTTCAGTTTGCACAGGCACACGTGTCGAGCGATGATCAATTTCTGATCGAGTTGAAGGTCGATTGATCTAACTATGCTATGCGATTCACAGTTATTTTTTTAACACGTGTTCGCCATATCTTGTCAACGAATAATCTTTTCTATACACCATTGGCGTATAAGTTTCAAGATACTATAAATCAATCAGAACATAGCGGACGATCGACCTAGAACTATTGCAGTTCCTTCTCCTCATTTGATCCGATATAATAATACATTTTAACAGGGGAGAAAACACACGTTAAAGTTTACATGAGGTTAAAAATTGCTTTACTCTTTATTCAATTTTTCTAAATATGAGGGATCCGGCCAAATGTCTTAGATCACCTCTAGCATATGACTGTGCTGAAGCCATACGTCTTTCCAATTCTATCGACTGCCTTTTCCACGCGAAAACAAAGCTACGCGCGGGAGATTAGTGGACTGCGAAGGGAGTGAACAAGTCTTGGGTTCCTTATGCAGGCCTCAGGTGGAGACAATGAAGACATGGGGCAAACATGCATCAGATGTACACACATTATACCGCGATCGCTGCGAGTCCACTCACGCGATCATGGAGAGTGCCGTTCATTGCGTCATATGAAACAGCATACATGTAACCTACAAGGTCGAACAGCGATGTCAGCTTACTCCTCGATTGGCAGCTTGTACGATTGATCCACAAGCACAAAAACCTCGCTAATTATGGCTTCGTCCATGCCATCCCTACTGACCTCACAAACATCAGGGGTAAGGTCACCGTTGTGGATTCGTGCAATGCTTTGAATGTGTATCCACGTGCAGTCCGTGTGTGGTGTATGAGCTAAAACAGAGATTCTGACGTGCGAATATATGCTCGGTTACTGACTATCTAAAATCTGTACAAAGCTCAGATTTCGAACATCATAGAAGCACGTTCATATGTAAAACTCGGCTGTGAAACTCCTGATCATTGTGATATAGTATAGATCGCTACTATATTTTACACCTTGTTGATGAGTGGATGGAGTTGTTGAAGTGTGATGGCGGTGTTATTGATCTGCCACCGTGACCGATGAAGAGTTGGCACAAATAATGATGAACCGACACAATTGCTGTTGAGGAGCGGTGATGTTTTCGTTGGTGGCAGTAGAAAGCTTGACACCTACTGGCCACCTACAGAACGATGAGACTTAGTCCATCATATCCGCAGGCTTGGTCATGCCAGGGATGACAGCGATTGCCTTTTGCTTTTCCTATTCAGAAAGATGATAAAAGTATGGATTAGATGATGAGGTAGGAGATTGGATGTATAATTCCAGATGACACAGATTTCCAGCTACCACCATTAATAAAAATATCGCGATCGTGTTTTAATGTTGCTTCCAATCAGCCTGCTTCGAAAAACCAAGATACATCGAACTAGTTCAAGATAGTGCAAACACCTCTCCGGGATACTGCAAGGGACCCGCATACACTGTTCTTGCCTCGATTTATTATATTGGACAGCCAATGCCAGCCGATAAAACTATGACTTACCTCGAGTTGGATTCTTGCGCTCTCTTTCTCGAGCTGCTGTTCGCGCTCGCACTCTCCCCAGACCTATACACAAAAGAAGGATTACAGATTGAAATGAGAGGATAATCCGTAAGCTAACGAGCCAAGTGAGGTTAGTCAAGTGCACATTGCTCGTTGCGAAGAGCTAGTGAATAAAATCACAACACAACAGCCTCCCGCCCTAAGTGTGAATGATGTGCCGAATTTATCCGCTCAGATACACTCACTAAGCCTGCGTCCAAAAAGAGGACGTTTATGCCTGGGAAAGCGGGCATAAAAAACCGCTTCCACAAGAATAAACGAATGTGATTACCTAGATAAACATGTGATTCTGTGCATGTTCAGAGATTACATGCTTGGACAAGTACATATATGCGCACGCAACACCGGTGATTACAGAAGGTGATTGAATGCCCTGCTACGCATACAAACATATACACGACAAACACGGTGGCGACATTATACGGAGATATAACGTGTGAAAAACTCATAGTTTGATGCTATAGCCTGTACCTGACGGTGAATATACCTTATGACTATGGTTCATGAAACATGAATTGCGGCGTTGGGATAGAGACAAATCAGCGACCGATTTAGAGAAATACACACGCGTTTACGTAGATAACATAAGCTGCCTGCACATACCTTCAAGTTCACCAGGAAGTCTTGTAGGGTCTGGCTGAAGAGATGGGGATCCATATAGGTGGAGAAAAGCGTGGCTACTGTATTTTCTATCGAATTCCTGAAGATGCAGAAAATGCGAAGGAAAAAGGGATATATTGATATTTTGAATATGCGAGTCCACATGTACAACATACAAGCACATGGTATTGTTCGGAAACGCCAGCGGATTACTTGCACAACATACAAACGGCACTTAATGTACACCTAGGTACCATCACGGCGAGATTTAAGTAATTGATTATTCAGACATTACTTCAATTGCGTCCAACAATGGCGAGGCATTCTCCTTTATGAATCGGATAGCATCATACACCATATTTGATGGAAAACGTACAAACTGGTCCTGACAAGCTTTAGCAGACAGATAATGTCACCAGTCGAGCAGCTCAACACAAATCAATCCTTACACGGCACTGGAAAAGCTAAAAAAGTGGATTCAACCGATACAAGTAAATAGTCTTCGTATGCACAGTCACAAACCATGAAGCAGAAATCTGGTTCAACTTACCGCAAAACATGCCAATACTCGTGAATACACTTCCGCCCACATCTCCAACTACACACTCTTAGATAACGATTTCCACACCTACACTCACAATCACATGGAGGTATGATATAGAAACAGATGCACAACCACATACGCTGTGAGATTTGGGAAGGCGCCCGTGAGTAGTTCGCGGATGTGTTGCCTCACGAACTGTGAGTTGTTTACTACAGCACCCGATTGGTTATTCGCCTCGAACAGATTGATCGTCACCTTGTTGTTTTCTACTAAAGTTATCATAAACGCTAAATTGGCTGCAAGATCCTCGAATTCTGTAGGGTTAGTCAAACAGAGACCGATGTACAATTAGAAAAACAAAACAAAACAACAAAAAAAGAAATATAATTCATTGTGCATACTAGATGATTCAGTACGTATACATGTAAAATTCCCGTTGTAATACAAGCGGACGATTTGTAAGAGGGAGAAAAAAATAAAAATAAAAATTCAAATAAGGAGACAGGATAGTTTATAATGACGAGCTGAGCTCCGTTGCACGACATTGGAATTCGAGTTCTGCTTACGAGATGGGGTTGCCTGCGAATAAAATTCATATACAAGCACAGATTCTGGATGCACATAGTAAGGTACATATAAACATACATATGCAGATGTAGATGCTCATATACATGTGTGCTTAACAAAATATATGGTTGCACGCTGGATATCGCAGCAATAGAAACATTATTCGGAAAGTTCTTCCCTTGTTAGTCCAATAATAATGCCAGTCAAAAAAAAGTGCTCGCATCATAATGCACTGTGCATTGACATACCGGACTGATGACTGGAATCGGTCATGACCGCAAGGACATGATCCAGCAGGAGTGTGTAGTATAAGCGGTAGAAGCCTTGTGCCTCGTCCGCATGCGAGATGTTGTTCAGTAGCATGTGCAAGATGTTCAGGCCTGTGGATGCCACATTCCGCATTGTGTGCTGAGGAGGGAACGAGTGTGGAGTGAGTATTAGACTATTAAGTGTACTAAGACATTAGTCAGGATCACATGATGGTACATCACATGATGGTACTGCTAGGGAGTGCGATGGTATGACTTTGTTGACCGATGCGCTCCATAATAGACCTCAAATACGCAGGATGCAAGAATCACGGCCATACTGATGCAATAGAAACACAGCTCACTTCCACAAAGACTATTAATCCCTCATACAATCTACTCTCCGCACCTAACCAGGGATTATAAAAGGTCCTGTTCAGGTACATCCATGCTCTACGGACCACATATATGCAATTATATTGTTATCTCCGAAGTGTATCAAGCACTACCAGCTATAGATGGTATCACAGTACTGTATTTCTATAGAAATATTGCATCGACTTTAAGCGCGCAATCATGGTTGGCAGTACAAAATCGCGCCCATAGATGCTTGCGAGCACACAATCGTACCAGCAGAGTGAACCAAGCATGCGCGTACGTTAAGTTTCCGCAGTTCAAGTCTCAACAAAATCAATTTTAAACATACCTTGAAACTCCAGATGATACTATCTATTACGAGTTTGAATTGATCCGGCGAGATAGCCAAGAGCGCTGGGAAGGCGAATTGATTGATGGCCTTGAGCAGCTCGAAGAAGTTGGCCCGATGTTCAGGGTATTCGCTCATGTCTTTGTTGATCATCTCGAGTGTGCATCCGAACAAGGCTTCGAAAATGGCGGGCACTTGTGGAATGATATTCTGTGGGCATGGGTCAGAAAAAGCGATGAGTAGGCTGAGACACCAGTACGACCATAGGAGTGAAACCAGGTAAATAAACTATAATCGCACATGGGCAGAGGTATTCGCGTCTGGAGGACACGCGGTATAAAAACATTCCAGTACGCATACGCAAAGCAGCCAGTATCGAAATATAAATAAGTGGAGTGTACCCAGAGAACGAGTTTGTCGTATTAGGAGTACGGGAAGTGAAATGCATGCTTCGGGATGGGGTTAGGGGCTAAGCTTGTGATAATAAACAAAGTACACTCCGTGCTTACCTGTTCTAGTTTGTTGATGATGGCACACATGGCGCTGAGCACCTCAGGCTCTCTCGCCTGGGGCACGTTATTTCGGTAGTCTGTCAGTACCGCCAGTAGGAACGGCGGCAGGAGATTGTTCATGACCAATTCGTTGTCGTTGGATTTGGTCACCCAGGCATTCATCAACCGCAGCACCTCCTTCTTCACAGCTCGCATGCTCTTGATCTGCTGTGACCGCATCCCTGCCTCACCTGTGATCGCAGGTACAGTACGTGGTAGCAATCAGAAGGTATCTACTAGCTGCGTGTAGAGTTGTATCGAAGCCAGAAGTACACACGGCTCACATGCACCAGTCGATGGCAGTGTGTTTCAAAATAGTACACTTTTCTTAGCACATTGAATGAAGATATGATCAGACTGTAAAATGTATAATTCCCGAATGCACACAAACTTACCATTCGTCTGTATCTCGGCAGAGATTATATCACTGTAAGCCTGATACACCTTGAGCATATCCATATAGTTACGCGCGAGCTGCACAATGAATGGATGTCCCACGGGTTTGCATACAGCACTGTTGATCTTGAGGATATACGTCAGCTCCTTGAGTGTTTGTTTTTCTTGTAGATGCTGTGATAAAAGATTGAGATTAAAAAAAAAGGGTGTTAAATTCCAGCTAAGTGGAGAGTGCGAGCAGAAGTCATTGGCAGAAGAACGTTCAACATTCGAGACAGCCAAGGGAGTCATTCAAGTAGGTAAAAAAAAAAAAGGGATACCACGCTTACGGATGTTCAGTGGGTGGTAGAGTCAAGCCGAATATATATATATATGTCTGGAAGTCAAAAAGTGCATGTACAAATCCATGCCCGAGAGCGATCCAAACTCAAAAGTATAAATAAGCAGGCAAGGAAGCAAATGGCATGAAGTACATTTCCGTAGTGAAATACGGATTGTTTAACATTGCAAAGAATCCCGTCAGTCCATTGTACTGCCATATGTACATCAACGCATGCGAATTCGTCTTTTGCAGCACTGACCAACAACTATAAATTCCCAATGTCAATTCAAAGTAAGAAAAAGAAAGAAGACGCGATATTACGTTGCTATTGACTGATAGCTTGAATTCTGAACGTAATACTATTCCAAAACATAAATAATTATGAACTCCCAATAGCTTTCAACTAGTGGAAGCGAAAGAGCATACATTGAAACTGACTGATAACATGTCAATAAGAAACTGACTGATAACATGATAATAATTTTATACCAGAACTTCCAATATTCAGAAACCCGCATGTCAGAACTTACGTTGATATTGACTGTTAACATGCTGATATGTCTACCCCATGACATGAACAATCATGAACTTCCAATGTCACAATTCCAATTAGTGACGGCGAAAGGACTTACGTTGGTATTGACTGTTATCATGCTGATATGTCTACCCCATGACATGAACAATCATGAACTTCCAATGTTACAATTCCAATTAATACCGGCGAAAGAACTTACGTTGATATTGACTGTTAACATGTTGATAATTCTATCCCAGGACTCATTCGGCAGGTGCATTAACTTGGTCAGCAATCTTTCCCTCTCGGTCACATCGCTCTGTGCCGCGATCATGTAGCCACAGGCTTCGTAGAAAGTGTTGACTTGTTGGGGTGTCAGATCGTGAATGATGCTGTAGGTGTGCAGAATACAAAGGAAAAATCAGTCAATGAGAAAAAAAAAGACGAGATAAGATTAGTTTGTAGGCAGACGACATATGCACCATAAACCGATATCACAGGTAGGTGAAAAATACACCCACCCACCACATAGGCGTGTATCTGATCCACAATATCATACTAACGCAGGCACCCACCAATAAACCACATTTAAGTGAACCCATCGACCCGTGCCTCCGTTGTGAGAGATAAACTGAATAAAACACCCACCCACATCCTGCATCTGATCAATTTCGTCTTGAAGCAACCCCATCATTCAAGCAAAACCACCAACCCATGCCTCCGCTATGCAACGTCTTAGCCCACCCACATACGTATGCATCTGATCCATAATCTCGTCCACGAAGGCCACCTCCTCTCCGGTCTGCTTGTGCACAAAGTGCGTCGAGCACTTCTGCGCGATCTTTATGTAGGTATCGCAGGCCATATCCTGCACACCCTCGTGGGTCTCGTGCATAAACTCAAACAGCTTGAACACCACCGTCTTCAAGAACTTCCAGTGCGCGCGCAGGAACCTCGGGTATTGCCCCACAATGTACATGATATTACTCGCCACCACCGCCTTGTTGTCCTTGCCCTTCTTTTGTTCCACCAGGCCAAGCAGATGTTTGATGACGGTGACCAGGAAGCTGTCGAAGAAAAATAAAAGAGATGAGCAGACATATACAAATTTGAAGTATCCTAGCACAAAACACAACCAACAACAGGAATGACGATGCAGTACCGATTCGCTATATGGCAGCCTTGCTGCCAGCATGTTCTCATGATACAGCCCACCTATGCGGACAAATACTACAACCGGACGTCAAGATATATACTATAGGAAATTAGATTGTTTTGCATTGTGTTGTATGACAATGACGATGCGCGTCTCGCAATATAACACTACTTGCACAACACATTCCGACAAGCCGTTCGGGATCGCATGTGTAGGTTCATGAGTCTCAGGCTAAAATGGCATCCTACGCCGATTGCAAATATTGAGCTTATTGAAACGTATTTCTTGAAACCACACAAGCTATTGCCCAAGGCACCGACGTATATCTCCAACTGTTTGCAGCGAGCACACACCCTTACTTGTCATCCTCAAACACGCCCCAACCAATACTCCCCTATCGCCAGCACAACAAGCTGACGACTTCCAATATAAAATATACACATGCGGCTAAAAATGATAATACTTTTTAGAACATTTGCGTACTTATCCACCCATCTGCAGCAGGCACATACCCCTTCTCATCATCCTCAGACATGGCCCCACTGATACTTCCTATCGCCCAACATAATGTGTTGACGGACTTCCACGACCACTCTGATCCGTCGACTTGTCTGTGCAGCTTCTCTATCATGATGCTCTTGGTGTCCGAGCAGTCTAAATGCGTCAAGAATACTAGCACTTGACGCATTGTTTTGTATTGGTTGAGTGTGTCCTGTATTGAGAATCGAAGAGGGCAGGTGATAGAAAGTCAGGACGTAGGAAGGTGCCACGAATAAGGAGGATTTCTCCAAACGAGCCCTGCGGCTAATACACAGTCTTACACTCCGAACATAACACAAACATTTTGCTGACCTATCAATAGCAGTATGTACATTTACTTGAATTCCCGAGCAAAATGCACTAGCCGGGCAGAATCTGGCAATGCACATCGAGACAACATACCGTATGCGTGGGCATAAACTCTCGGACAATCTCTCCACTGTCGGTCTCGACAATGAGGACTTCTTCGGGCTTCACCATGTGCGTGATCATAACCTTTCGCACCAACGTTAGGATGTCTTTGTAGAGTTCACGCCGCGGTGACTGTGAACAGATGGCGTGAAGAAGAATTAGATATGCACATTATCACTTTTCCACGTGGAAACAATCGGGGCACCTAGAATTTCTGTACGTGGCTACCCACAGATCACACTTATAGAATATATATATATTACATACTACCGGGATTAAGCATGGAAGGCGATATGTAATATAAGTACATACATATAACATGCATCCCTCACGTAAATAGAGTAGTGCGTCATGCCACTAAAACGACAATAGCCTGACTTGTTCGAACAACTTACCACTGTGGGTTGTGGAGTGTTGAATGACGAGTACGAGTTGGAGTACATGGTAGAGACGGTATATGGGCTTTCGTTATAGAGACCATCCGTCAGTGAGTGCCAGTATTCTAAGCAAATCTGTCATAGAGGAGGGTAGGAGAGTTAGTAGTCAAAGGTAGCAGTGTTAGCTGTTATCGACAACCCCATCAATGATAATTGTTTTAGTCAAATGTATCAATGCTAGACAATTGACGGTGGAGAAACAAGCCCTCAACATCATGGAGAACGCACTGGTGTTGCCAAATATAGACAGCAGTTCTAAAAATAAAAATTTAACCAGGTCGTGTAAAAAGCTATTTAGAGCTGAATCGCTCATCTTTAGGCAGTCATACCTTGAAGATCTCGGTATCCTCCACCTCGGATATCAGTACTAAGTAGTAGTGCGCATCCAAAAGTAATTGTCTGACCTCAATATTATCGGTCTTAGATTCCAGCAACTTGCGGTGCGTTTTAAGATACGATGTTAAGAACAGCGCCAGTGCACGGATGAACTGCTGGTGGAAGTCGCTGCTGTCATTGTAAGCCTCCCTGTGAGCAAGAGGTGGATGGCGTGCGAGTGAGTGTACGCACCGGGCCATAATATTCAAGATAAGTCCTACCAACCAATAGAGTACACACATCGCTAAGGAAGATTAGTGAGCCATGTGTGAATTCACACAACGCCCTAGAAAGCGAAGACGGACAGGACAATCCAATTTGAATGATCTGAAGAGAGAACAAACACCCGAGATGTGGACCCCCAATCCATTGTGTTCACATACCATTTACTCAGAAAGTATAGATTGACAACCCCACATATAGCAGAAAGTAAACGCATAGAAGAGACTCATCGAGGGAGTCGAGACTGGATACCAGTATATTGCAGAAAACAAGGGCAACAGAAAAACAGGGGCTGCAGAGAGTGAATTGAGAGCGAACTAGCGGGAAGGACTGCGTACACATCAGCCATATTAAACAATACAGCCAGCTATACGCACGTGGCAATGGGCGGGCAAGTACGTTTTCAACCACTAGCACCACAAGTGCATACACGCATCTCATACTTGATGTTGATGGATGATGGTAGAATGATAGTGAGCTGCTTCATGGTTTGCGTGAACATCTTAACAATCTGTTCCGAGAACCCGCCCTCGCCCGGCGAACTGGACGTCTTGATGCTTGCGATTTCCGTTAAGCACATGATGGTTAGATTCCGGAACGATTCGGCTCCAAGGTACTGCAATAGGCGATTTAACATTATGAGTGCAAACTTAATTTACCGCACAAGTTATTAATTCTGGGTTGGCAATTGCGCATAGTCCAGCACCAAACGATAACATTTAATTTGATTCACTGGCACAGACGAAGGTAGTATGCATGAGAAGGTTATACACGTTTGTAGACAGCTCGTCTGCATATATCCAGCTATCTACTGAATAATATATGCATATGCATACGCACACGAGACCATCGCATCGCATCCGGGAGAAAACAGACAACACGGCCACACCCATACCTTCATCGTTAATATATCAATGAGTTGAGTTTCGTAGATGTACCCGATGGGAATCCACGACAGAAAACATAGCAGGGTTTCCAACGTTGACTTGATCAGTGAGACACCATCCGTGTTCTCGAACACAAACATGCACAGCTCGAAAATCATCGAGAACTGCGAGTTCATCGAATCCTTCAGAGCACGCGCCTTGGCCACGGTCATCTTGCCCGAAGAGTACTCAAAGACCTATCATTGGCGAACAATATAAATCACTAAATCACTCAATATATATATATATATACATATAAATATCAACGACCAATGATTGGAGAATAAAATAAACTAACACATTGGCCACGAGTCGATGAAGCCTATAAGGAAGGGAGTACTCGAAAGTGTCTTCGAGCAGCTGCATCTCCATTGGAGTGTATGAGATCTAAATATTGGCCATGAGAAATAATTCTCCTGGTTCGTGCGCAAAGTCGCTCTGCTCTGCATATGCGGCATTCGAGTGATGGGTAATAAGGTATGCCAGAGATCCGTCCGTAGAGATGCGCCATTTCTAAAACCCTACAACTGAATAGGACCGTGAAATCCAACACAATTGACTAAAAAATCCCAGGAAACGGTTGATATACATTTTGATTTTGGTGGCATCTGAAACCGCCTCGAAAAAGCCTACAAAATAGCACACACTACTAGAAACACGATATAGCCCACTCTCACACAAGTACAGCTGATATTACGCACCTCTTCACTCAGCAGCTTAAGGATAGCCATGTTGTTCTCGCACAGCGACTCAGATGTCTTACTACTCCCTACAATATCCGGAATGAATGAAGGCCATGCATGCGGCCATTCTTGTTTGACGATTTGTACCTACGAGTTCGATAGTTAATTGCAGACCATTAGTAGGTCGTCCCTTATTTGGAATAGGCGTAATACAACATCAATTGACAGATGGACAGTTCGCTTCCAACAAAAGTAAAAAGTTCTCCACTTTGCACTCTACCATTCGAATAGATACTCGCACGCCTGTGTGGCACAATTATTCGCACTAACAAATTACCAGGCAAACAATACCTATTGAATTTATATCAAATCCAAATACAGATACCACTTACTAATATCATATTCAGTTTCCGGATGAACACTCTATCTGTCCCTTGCTGTGGCTCTGAGGACATGCGGATGATCATACTCACTATAAACTCCTTGACAGCCTCTCGTTGGTCTGTGGGAAGCACATTCCATTTTGTAGCAATGGTTGATTCCAGTATCGAGAGCGCATAGAACCGCGTGCTCGGGTTCTGCGACTGATCCAGGATCTTGTCAACCCTCGTCCATGCATCTGGCGTATCTTTGAGTTGCGTCAGTACCTAAATGTAATCACAAAAGCAGTTAGAAGTCAACAAACGCCCATCCGCCACAATATACTATCGATTCGAATACTTACAAATTTTGTACTAGGCCATATACACGCATGGCTGTGTAAGAACGCCAGAACATCAAACTATAGATAGAATCCGAGAATATTAGTAAATGGGGACGAAATCAACTGTATATGCATAAGCACGCATGAACCACCTGAGTGTAAAACTAGAAGCAGAATTTAAAGCATGCAAAGGGATTATACATCATACGCGCAAACAATCTACCACGTGAACCAGGAATTGATACCCATACCCGTACATTCATGTATACGACCATACAGACAAATGTGATAATATGAAGCTATCAGAATATCGGACTATAGAGAAGATGTAAGTACCCATACCCATACATATAAACTAGTAGGCCTTTTCAGTTGTACAAGATGAATCAGGGTACATATACATATATGGATATAAATGTTTATTCCACATATACATGTCTATATCGAGAAGATATATGGTTTCATTTCACTTTAAATAAATAAAGTCAAATATAGTTATCTACTTGCGCATTTATATATGTGGATGTATGTTTTATCAGATATCACCATAATATCTGCAATCAAAGTAAGATGCAACATCTCTTACAGATCATGAATATGTATAATCCTATACTAATCGCAGATAACGAACAGCCTATGTCAATTAATGTGCATGCCTACAGTATACATGCATATATCGAGACGATACATGGTTTCATTTCATTTTCAAAGAAGAAAGTCAAATATAGTTTTCTACTTGCTAATGTATACATGTGTATGTATGTACAATCAGATATAAAATCTGCAATCAAGGAAACATACAACATCTTTTACAGGTCATGAATAGCCACATATACGGTGTGTTGCTCGAATGTGTGTGTAATAAACATAAATGACAAACATATAGATATGAATATGATAGCCACAAATTCATTGTGTTATTCGAATGTGGTTGTAACGAACACAAAGACAAAAATATAAACATGAAGATATGCACTCGAACATAAGTATGGATGTGGCAATATCACATGAACAAATTAAAATAAGAAATGTTCACATATATGATCATGCGAGTGTATACTATGGTATATAGATACGAACAGGTCAACTCACGCGCTGAAATAAAAAACGTATGCTATATACATACATACATATAAAATATAAAGCACGGAAGGCAGGGCCATAAATATTATATATATATATATATTTATACATACATATATATATATATATATATACATAAACACACACACACACACACACACATATATAGACAATTCTTTTCATGTACAGGGAAACAAAAAAAATGGGGGATTTATTTTTGCATTATAATGCACATATTCGTAAGCCCATATTTTATGATAGTTGCGGTTATATGTACACGTATTAGTAGATATATTTGAAATCCCTTGCCAAATTATTTCATAATAATAATAGCTACGTACCCACACCTATATATATATATATATGAAATTAGATATGCGAGTATTTCATAATTTGGTACAAGTATATGAGCACATATATATACATGCATATATACATACATACTATACATAATAATAATAAGTACAAAAGCATAATGTATATTCTTACTTTGACATAAATATATACATACATACATAATTATTCACACATATAAGACAGCAACGCCATCAATAATAATAAGGTCACCTTGAAGTATATATAGGTAGAAGATTACTACTTGAAATTAAGAGTCCCGGTTAGATTATAAATCTTTAAATGTGCACAGTGAACGACTATTGCAAATTAATTTTGCCGAAACCTGGAATGCTATCTTCTACAATACGATACAGCCAGGATGTTGCTCATTCGCGCTTGGTCATAGGAATATGATATACGGTAAACTACAGTCAAATGATGAAAATAAAGGCTAATAATATTTTTAATCTTGAGATACAGTGTGACCGGATTATAACAATAAAAACACTCGTAGGGTATATTTTTCCTTAATTCTTAGTTTACGGACACAACTCGATCATGTTTCATCAACCTAAACACATTCAAAGCATACAAACCAATGACTCATCTATAACCAACCTGATTTGCAATCTCCTGTTGTTGTGGCGTTAGCGGATTGTTCATCGCATTCACAACCGAGTCTAGTAGTTGCACGTTGAGCTCCTGTGTGAAGTCCAACAGGGACGCAGGATCCATGGCTGCCATCTTTCAAAAGTGTAAACGCACTACAAAGACCAGATTATATCTAATATGTTACACCCAACCTCCTTTGGTATTGCGCGTTTAAGAAAGCGCCTTACTATGGAATTATATACATATACATATACATATACTACCTCGTATACTTATTACCAAGAATTTCAGATAAATTCCGGGTTGAATATATCAAGCCAATCCTCACTAGGGAACACAACGACACACGTATGCAATGGCACACGAATGTAATTTGAGTATATAGCAAGGCCCTTCGGTCTCTTCCTAGCCTGTATATTCCTGGGGATTGAAATATAAAGATAATTGTAAAAACAGCGTGTACATACAGGTATACACACACGACACAAACGGGTCTAAATTACTAAATCGTAAAACTGAAACCTCGCTGTTTACTTTCTTCTGTGAGACTACTGAAGTGCTGATCTCTTCTCCCGCGAGTTTTTTGTTATTGGTAAAGTGGACAGAAAAATATTTTTAGATGCGATGGCCGAATGCCGCTGTGGGATGGGGTTTGGGGTCAAGCAAATTCAGAACTGTCCAGTGAGTGAACGTAATAATATGTACTTCCCGCCAATTGCTACGGGGAGCATTTCGAGTGAGCCTTGGAATAGTACGGTATAAACTATTAAAAAAACGTACTTGCACGGTAATCAATTGATATATATCTTTTGGCCCCAGAACGAATAAAATCTCGATTCGTGGTCCCAAAACCGGTTTTAAAATGGTTTTATTATAAAAGTAATTATTGTATGAAAAAGTGATGATCAATCTTTTTCACTTCTTCTGAACTTTTCAGAATCAAAAAAATCAATTACGCACTGATAGGCTGGGACTCTGGTGCGGAATAGGCCCTGGCGGCTTGGCCCCGGGTCGGCAACTCGGCAGTCGGCGGCCCCTGATCCCTGGGCCCTGGCCCCTATGAGTGGGGCCTGGTATTATTTTGATTTGTAAAACAATTTTCTTCTCATTTGTTTATTATTTTGAAAAAAAAACAAACAAACAAAAGAGCAAAAAACAAAACAGCGAACTGTAGAGTGTAGGCTGCTGGCATGTGTCAACTGTCAAATGTCAAGTGACACTTAAGACGGACTGACGGTTGTCGCCCGCACCAGACACATGAGCGGCTGAGCGACTGTGCCACTGAGCCCTGGCGGCTTATTTTTATCATTTTTTGTAAATATTTACTCTGTTTTATTTTTAGTTTTGTGGAGATAAATCACGGCTGGGAAGTAGTGGGTGAATATTTAACTAAATACTGAAAGCGATATGGGGCTTCACAAGGGGCCCAGGAGGTCGACAAATAGGCCAAAAGCGTTTAAAAAATAAATAAAAAGAGGCTTTTTATACGCATTCAGTCCCGGGATAGAAATACACACATTGTCTAATTTGGTTTTAAAAAACCCCCCAGAAAACCTGGGGAATGTGTATATTTTTAATCTACAATTATGCAATCCGCATCCCGCACGTATTTACTGAGAGCCCTGGCCACTCCCAGAGTCCCAAGGTGCATGACTACTTGCTGGGCAAGCCTGTACGGGGGTTGATTGTGTGAGAGGTCCCGAGGAACGAGGCACTACGAGTGTCGCGGACTCGCTGGCCGCTGCCATCGTCCCAAATGGTGTCATATCTGTCATCTATTCTCAGTTTCACACACACCGAAGCCCTTAGGTCTATGGACCTATGTCCTATGCCCTGGTATATTCTGTAGGATTTGTGGTATATTCTATATATCTCTCTCTCAGTCTCTCTCTCTACTAGTAGAAATACTTTGGTTTTTTGATATAGAAAAATCATTGCGCAGGTCCAGGAATAGGGGGCCAAATGCAGTCTTATGTTTTAAAAAAATCAATAAATTTTTTTCAAGTACAGTTTTAAGTTGAATATATTATTTTGTCCCAAATAAAAGTTATAACTTTTATATTTGTTTCAAAAAGTAACAGATTGTACACTGTACACTGTACCAGTACAGTGACCTTCTAAATAACAATATGAGGTTACATATAGGCCTGAGATAAAGTTTCTTTATTACGTTTTGTATGTGTTTACGTTCAACCGCAACGTTACTGCACAATGATGGGTTCAAATCGAATAGATGGGATATTTTCCTCATAGACAAACACACAATGTATGTATGTAGTATGTATGTATGTATTTATGTATGTATGTATGTATGTATGTATGTATGTATGTATGTATGTATGTATGTATGTATATATGTACGTACGTATGCATGCATGCATGCATGCATGTTTGTATATATATATGTATATGTATATGTATATGTATATGTATATGTATATGTATACGTATATATATATATATATATATATATATATAATATATACGTAGATAGTTGGATTACGCATAAGATAATAGATTATCCTGTAGGATTGCTTTGGCATGTGTACCATCGCTGTCACCACTCTATCGTTGCTCGCTAGTGGTACTTTGGAAAGTTTTGGATTAAAGCAGGCAGACCTACGTTTAGGCTGATATTACTGATCGCACACTCTCCATCCTGAATAGGCAACACACTATATTATAAATGCTTTATACCATAGCTTTTGTATAATAGGGTAAATAGTGTATTCATTTAGATTTACAATATTAGTACCGATTTGCTTCGGGGCATCACCGATTTTCGACGAGTATACATTAATTACAAAATGGGAAACTTTCAATACATAAATACCGTCGATAAAGAATTAAGTCGACCAAATCTCAACGACAAGCTCTCCACTTTCGAGTGTAGTTCAACATAAGATGATCACAGTCAGCCCACAGTTGTATATCGAAGACGAAGGTACATTTTAGCCGTTGTCTTGTAGTGTGAAGTATATACACTCCTATTGTCATGTAAATACTATTTGCAATGCCAGACCATTCGTTCTATGTACGTCGATATAAGGTGAGAGAACCCTAAATATCTTGTTTTTTTTATTAGGGCTTAGGGTTTTATTCTTTTTCAAAATCCTGTGGATTCGATTGGACATCAATACCAGCTGTATATCAATACGATCGTCATTGTGCAAATATCTCATTATTCTCATCGGAGGTCTTTAATTATACTGTCATTTCTTCTCTTGTTGCGTATTCCTCTTCAAATATCGACAAAAATTTAGTTTCGTTGTACGGTATCAAGCATAATATACTTGACAGCAAACTCCGCAACATAGAAGCAATCTGCTATCAATATCTGTTGTATACACTGGTCAACTCCGATTTTTGTCGGCTGGGGTGCAAGGGTAGCGTTCAAGTTAAAAACGAGCAAGTCGATAGATTACAAATCGACTTTACTTTAAAAACATAAGTCAGATATAGCTAAACACGCAAACCTTAGCAGCAGAACAGTTTTGGTATGCTACACGCATCATCTACTTCAAATCAGTTTGTTCTTCGATTATACGTACAAATTCTTACAAACAAATCCATAACAGCGAAATCTGTCGTCAACACATTAAGTGTAGACAATGCCGGGTGCTATTTTTTGGTTTAGAAAAGGTCTGAGGCTTCACGATAATAAAGCGCTTATTGCGGCAGTGGAGTCAAGAGGGAAAAAGGTATGCGTGTTTCCGTGTACAATACACGATTTTACATGCAATACATGAGTTCATTGGTAAGGGTATTCGAAATGTAAAAATAAATAAATACAGATATCATATAATATACCGTCGTACTTTGCGAATAATTGATGTTCTTGGACTATTATTGCTCTTAGGTGCTATTTATTTTTACTGCTCATCTTTAGGCATTCTTATCCAATATTATTAGTCATGTGTCGTGTAGGATGTTTGCAAGCGTAAGAGGATAGGTGCTTGTTGCCGCCAATCTTATACTAGTAGAATGCACTGTCGTAGAGTTTAGCATCCGCGTTGGATTTCACGATAATGGGATTTTGCAACTGATGAGCCTGGCACGTAGCATGTTCTCTTGTAAATACACATGCTGATTTGTGTAAAACATGTATCTACATGAGTAATACAGTACTGTTCAAACACACTCCGATCGGGTGTCGCTAACTCTGCAAGTCATGCATTGGGTTTTTCTTGTCGCTCTGTAGGTATATCCGGTATACGTCTTAGATCCCAAGTTTGTTAATCCAAAGCAAATGGGCTTGAATCGTCTGCGATTTTTGCTTGAGTGCCTTTTGGATCTGGATTATTCTCTACGCACTAAACACAATAGCCGTCTGATAGTTCTAAGAGGGGATCCTACCGTGGTGATTCCTGAGCAGATCGAGGTATGCCATCTTGTGTACGTTATGGCTTGCTATTTGGACAGCGATAAATCTGATTACTACTATTACGTTTATATGTATATATGTATAATATAGGCTATAATACATGTATGTGCACATTTACAATATATACGTTTATAAGCACCCAATATTTGCTTAAATATACATGTTTATAGACATGTATACAAACACACTCACTCACTCACTCACACACAAACAACCTCCCCCCCCCTCTCACACACATATATATGTATTGGGATATATATATATATATATATTTATGTATAAATATATATATATATATGTACATATATATATAAATATATATATATTATTTGTATTTTTATTTATGTTTTCATAATTATGTATGTATTGTATATTACTGTATATATATATATATATATGTATATGTATATATATAAATATATATATGTATATATGTATGTTGTATGTATGTATGTATATATATAGGTATGTATGTAAGAATGTATGCACACATGTAGTATACTTGTAGTTATCTTATATGTTATATACTGCCTCCGTGTCTGTATCCGGTGATTCAAAAAATCTCAGTTGGTGTATTGATTGCCAAGCGTACTCTATTCTTAACTCGTCGTGACACACTACCTTTGCGAGACGTGACTAAATACACCTCATGCAAATTTGTCATCAGTAAACGTTTCAGTAAATGTTTCTCGTTTTTGCACGTATATTAATAGTCGTGCGTGCATGATTTTTCTGAGTGCCGAACAACGCCTGGATTACCTCTTCCCTCACCCTCGAAGTTGGTGTATTGCACGAGAGAATCAGGTCACACATACGCATTCATTCTCCTTTGATCATCTACAAGGCATGGGATGTCGATCGACTGGTTTACGAAGATGAGCCCGAACCACATAATGTAGAGAGAGACGAAGCGATCAAAGCCGTACTGAAAGAATCTAACAGCGCCTGCTTGGTTTACTGGTATGTGTAGCCACAACCTTTGTTCAAACTGGAGATTTGAATTAGTGTCTGTTTTCATGAGGACTCTTAGAACCCGTTGGCATATCTATCCACAATCTGATAAAAATATGACATTGACGTGCGTCGCTAGCATAGCGGAGAGTTGAAAAACGGTGTTTTCTGTCAAACTGATTGACAGCTGCACTTAATGGAAGAACCATCCTTGCTTCTTCTTCGTTCGGATTTCTCTGTTGATGTACTCAACTGCCCTATCTCCGCGTTGCATGAGGAATATGCGCATTGTCGCTTCTGACGCAAACGTCGTACGTATTTCACCTACAGCACACCCGGACATACTATATGGGATCCCAAGTATCTATTGAAGATCAACAATGGCAAGCCGCCGTTGACCATGCAATCATTCACCACATTGGCCGAGAAAAAAGCTGATCCGCCCGCTCGACCCATCAACGCACCCACAGCAGAGGCAATGCAGCTGATGCTGCCCAGAGATGTGCCGGAAACAGACAAGGCGGAAGGCGACATGTACTCCGTCCCGGTTGTAGAAAATGTGAAGGACTTTGTAGCCCTGTACTCCTCGCTTGGGGTAAACGGTAAGCCTGATATACTCCAATTGTTCATCCAATGCATCTTTCAATACGCTTTCATACTGCCTGTGATGCGCGTAGTGCCTCAGACTATCGGGGTCATCGAGGCTTATTAAATTGGATCTTCGCTCGTGAAGTCTGATCTAATGTGTGCTGCTAATTTGTGACTGGGTGTAGAACTGTGCGACCAATCCAAAGTTTTCTTGGATATTCAAGGTGACCAATGTACAATAGACGAGGCCGATGAGAAGGAAAACAATGCCGGCACACCAATCGTCAAAGGTGGCGAAACGGAAGCCTTGAAAAGACTTAGTATTAAAGTGAATAATCGACACACATGGGTAGCGACGTTTGCCAAGCCGGATACAGCGCCAACGGCTTTTGATCCTCCATCGACGACTATTCTTAGGTTGGTGTACTATAGTCACTAAGATCTGTTGCATCTAATTGTGGGTATGGGTATGACTGTGGACGCGGGGTTGGGTTTGGGTTTGGGTTTGGGTTTGGGTTATGGTTTGGGTTATGGTTTGGGTTTGAGGTTGTTAGCGACATTTTGGAGGGGTCTAGTGCATTTCTGTGCGGCGTGAGCGTTACCAGCTTCCTGCTATCGGGTTCGAGACCGATGTTATCTCGCAATTTGAAAGAGGTATTAACTTGTACAATTTTTCTCACCTTTTCTTTTATCGATTGCTTGATCATAAATGTCCACCTCTAGTCCTTACTTGGCAAATGGGAGCATATCGCCGCGGCTCTTCTATTACGCCATTCTCGATTGCTACGAAAAAAATAGAAAGGAGAACGGACATGCGCACACCAAATCACCGACATCGCTAATGGCCCAATTATACTGGAGAGAATTCTTCACGCTCTGTGGGTATGGACAATATCGTATATTGCACTATTTCTATATACGTACCGTTTCCGTGCACATTCACCTGATTTCATCTGTGTGTATTCTTTCAAATGAGCACACTTGCAGCTGAGTCCTTCTGTTTCATTACATGTTCGGCGATAGTCTGCACCTATGTGCCTACTGTGATATGTCCGATGGTCTTAGATTGTGTACATGACTACGCTTCGTAAGCCAGATATGTGACCAAATACGATTCCAGCTTTTACATCATCACCAGCAACAAATGTGTGGTACAATTTTTAGTTGGGAGCACTGAAGTGAATACTTCTGACAACCTCACTAGGATGGTTTGTATTTTTTCGAGCTTCTCAATGTGGCTTAGTAAGATACTACCTGTCGTGTACGATTATTTCGCATCCAGCCTTTTCAATTCCTATAATGTCTTTTGTCGCAGCGTTTTTGCCTGTGGTATTTTCAGTTGTAGTGCGCGTGTTCAAAACGTATACGCTCATTGCCACGTGTACACTACCCGTCTTAAGCGGATCGTTCGGTGACATTTTGTGCATACTGCAATAGCTATACAAATATATGTATTAAGATCGCATGTGCAATACATTTCCGTTCAATTGCAGGCGAGAATTACCACACTTTGGCGCTATGGTAGGTAATAGCATATGTAAACAAATTCCCTGGAGTAGAGATATGGCTCTGCTGAGGGCGTGGGAGAAGAGCCATACGGGGTGAGTACATGCCTGTGCCTGTGCTCGGGTGCTTGTTATAACGTCTCCGAGTAGTCTTTCTGTTACGGTTTGGTAGGCACCCTCTCCCATTCTGTCAGGGGATGTTATGCCTGCATTCCTGCACTGAATGGTTAGTCTCTGGAGACCTTCCGGTGGGTTGGGTTCCGGTGGTCATCTATGGGCGGTAGGTGTATTCTAAATTTTCTTCAATCTCTAAACGTCATTGGCACTCACGGCTAAGCGGTCGCTTGTGGTTTGTTTGCGTCGGGTGTCTTTGCCCCTCAGGTTCCCTTGGATTGATTCAGTGATGACTCAGCTGCGCACTACCGGCTGGATCCATCACCTGGCGAGGCACAGTGTGGCGTGTTTTCTGACGAGGGGCGATCTGTGGGTGCACTGGGAGATGGGTAGAGACGGTGAGTACTGCTGTGATTCTCGCATCGAGCGTGTCGCCGTTGTGGTGTGTTTGTAAGTTTTATGTGAGCGATTGGCGTGATTCTCATCAGTACACTTGCTGAACTATGCACCTGGCTCTTTGATGTGGCGTGTTGGTGCTCTAAACTCGCCAGGAAACCGCTAGACCTCGCAGCTGGCGCAACTAAATTTTCTTTGTGTGCGCGTGGGTCGTCATACTAACTGGATCGGCTGTGAACGGCAGATTACTATGAGGGTTTGAAACTTGTCGATATCCGTATGAATTTGTCTTGGGAAACTAGAGATGACAGCCAGTCCAAAAAAAAACTATCGGCCGGTCCGTATAATGCGTTGTAGTCGCATCCTCTTTAAGTCTTTGAGTGGTGTTTAAGAACACCCGGTCGAAGAGAAAAGTACTGCTTCAAGCTTTTGGAGTATTTGCGCCATGCACGGACTCACCCGATAAAAATGAAAACATATCCCCGCATACAGCCTTCGAAAGGCATTTGCTTGACGCCGACTGGAGTCTCAACAACGCGAACTGGATGTGGTTGAGTGCCAGTGGCTTCTTTCATCAGTTCTACCGTGTGTATAGTCCGATTGCCTGGCCGAAGAAAACTGATCCCAATGGCGACCACGTCCGCCATTTTGTGCCAGTACTGAAAGTATGTATGTATGTACTGTACGTGATTAGACCTACTGCGCACTTTGGAATTGGTACGGTAAAATACGTTTTGTGGTGAAAATTCAGCCCCGAAATTGCTTAATGAATTATGCATCGCACGCTTTGAGCAGTGCTATCACTTGGGTCAGCTGGTGGTGTATGCGGGATAAGAACGAAGTTCTGCACTCAGCTAGACAGTGCGAGGTTTTGTATTTGTTAGATAACGGTACTGGCTAAAGATGGCTGTGCTCGAATTGACTGTATTCATCATAACGATTGATGAAGAGATCCGGTTGGATGTTCACGATACCAGGCAGATAGTGCCATTCGGTGATTTCAATTTTATGGGACAACTTAGAAAGCAAACCATGTTTCATACAGGATATGCCCAAGAAATATATCTACGAACCATGGCTGGCACCATTAACAGTCCAGAAAAAGGCCAATTGCATCATCGGCAAGGACTATCCCTACCCAGTTGTAGACCACAACACCGTCAAGAATGCAAATCTCACCAAGATGAAGGATGCCTATGGCAGGTGTGTTGTGTTAGATATGTCTTCGCTTGTTCTGTGAGCCTTGGATTGGCTTGCCCTTGCTCTTAGGTTTGGCGCCAAGGCAACATGTCATTTTTTCAGAAGTTTTTTTGGTTCATTCTAGTGAGAGCATGCGAGCCCTAGAATAACATTTATTTGCGGATAAGCTACTCTAGTCAAATAGGCATCTATGTGGACGTATAAAAATCAACATCACTTCTCCACATCTCGTGGCTCCGTTCGCAAGGAATTTGAGAGCACTTCGTTGACGCAATGTGCCATTTGTTTATTTCGATGTAGGCATTCTGACGGTAAAATCAACTGGGAAGAGGACGTCGCACAGAATGTCTCGAATGCTGACAAAGTCATACAAACAACCGGGATAGGCGAATATGAGTATGTATCCAAAGATACGCACAACAGCGGTAAAAGGAAGGCGGTGGCCGCTCCAAGCGAAGTTGATAGCGATGAAAACACGGTCAAAGTGGAAGGTCAGAGTAGCGCCCCAAAAAAGGACAAAGCTAAAGATATTAATTCGAAACCAACTCGAGGGAATAGGAGCAAAATATTAAGGCAGACGACATTAGAATTCTGACGGCAATATCCGATACAGGCTCAGGGGCTATGTTAGAATTAAAAGCCGACTTCAACATTAGTGTTCGAAGCACGTTTGCGGTACTGTCAGGAGGTGGGTAAATGCTGGCATAAACATCCTATACTTTAGAAATATACTATTTAAATTTGTAGAAGTTTCCCGAGATGAATCGAGAACCCAAAGACCTGATATAGATCTTAGCAAGTGTATATCACCAGTGATTTTCAGAATGACTAGAAGCATTAAAGATAGGAAAACCCATAGCCGATGACAATATGCGTAAATTGAGGGAAGTGTGTGTGGCAGGGCATTTTTAACCGCCACAGGAAACGGCAGAAGACCTCAAGCATGGCCGCATACAAACGAGATTGCGCATCACCCCTTTGAATTTGGGTCCGAGTGAGAAATATTGCAGACACATGAAGAGTTCTGTATTAGCAGCATATATACCCTTCGTGGTATGACATGATGCTATGCGAGTGTTTCTTACTAGATTTTGGGCTTGTGCGTGTCTCTGTCTCGTCTGCTTAAAGCTTACCCTGCTAAAGCCGAATAAAACTACACATGCGTAATTGCATGGAAGCGGAGGAAGGCGGCGACCGCCAAATCCAACAAGAGGGCAGGTCGCAGTAATAGAGCTGTGCACGCAAAGCACCTGACGATATGGAGAGAAGTACAGCCTTGACTCACAACTGGTACTCATTTACTTCCCCACGTGAGCAATCCTGTTCATTAGCTGTTCGTTGATTTGCTACGGAAAGCCAATTTGCAGTTACTGAATTTATTGCTTTACCTGGTTTGCCGTAGATAGATGCTGACTATCTGTGGCTTTCTGCCCCGGTCTTCCCAACTTGGTCTATCCTATTTTGTGTACATGACATTATTTCTCGAGTCTGCATTCTACGTCTCGATTTGTCCTACATCGACTTGCGAAATGAGCAAACGACGGTCCAAATGTTCGGCAGGATTATTGCCAGTCACAATCGCTTGTTGTGCGTGTCGTGCATCTGAAGAGCTTGATTCTCTAAAGTGTAGATTTGTGATAGAGAGCTTGGTCATCTAAAGTGTCGCTGGTTGTGGCCATCGCGGGCTACACACCAGCGTAGTTCATTTACGTTTAACGGATTATGTTCGTCGGCTCAGCACGGACTTATTCATCGAACCCAACCCTGTCCACGTGTTGTGCCGCTAAGACCTTTTTGTCGGCAATTGGGTCGCATCGCTGATTCGCCTTATTGGCCTTATTTATAACACCCCACTCTTTGTCAATGGCCCTTATGTACGACCTCATCCCTTGTGTATCCGGTATGTTCAAGCTCCTGGAATGCAATTTAGCAGATAATCAGTCGTGATTAATTCACATTTTTTCACTTCACAAACAGAAAAACGATGACACTCTAATGAAAATATCTGCACAAGCGCCCAGAGTCAAGTACATACACTGCGTTCAGGGTACACCACTGCCACGTCACACCTACCCAACAGGCCCTACTATGAGAACAAGACGTACATAAACTACAAACAATCGTCAAACAGCAACTTGTGCGTGTACAAATAATCATAATTTCAACACTACCCTGTTTGCTCGCACATCTCAAAAAGTTTAGCTGTACACAAACTGCCCGTTCAATGGTCATGAAGAACCCACCTGAACGCGGTTGTAGCGACCTCTGGATGCGACACCAGGAGTTGGTTGGCGCTGGAAGACAGCGCGAGGAGAGTATCGGCAAGTCGTTGGTCGTGTTCAGCCAGATAGAGCCGTTGTATCGTCAATTTGTTGACTAGGGACCACATCAGAGACTCTGGCGGACTGCATGATTGGTATAGTATGATTGATTGCATGATTGGTATAGTAGTAGCGAGGGTCAGGGCCAGTGATCGTTTGCATCCCACTATACCTCGCACCGATGCAAGAGCGAATAACCATTTGATCGGATATGTGACCTGGTGTTATTTCTATGTCAAACCGGCACCCACGCAGGCTGAAGCGTCCCTTACGCAGATTGCTAATTAAATCAGCAGCCGTAGAATGCCATTCATTTGTCTAGCCTGTGAATCGCAGTTTATCTGTGTGTGCTCTATTTCGCCTGAGCGCTCGTGGCCGCCGTCAGGTTGTGTAATTGAAACAATAACATTCGGACGAGCCAGACCTGTTAGCCTTCTCAGCACCGCTACTCGCTAACACGCCATTCTCGAAAGATATAAACGGGATACCTTGTATCGCCTGGAGAGCCCAATACTTGTTGAAGGACTTCACTCCTCAAGTTCTCGAAGCGAACACGCACGATGTGGTACTCGGGTAAGTGTTCGTAGGTTGCGCTGCTTTCGATCTCCAGAAGTTGTTCGGCAATATCTGAACAAACATAGACGCATGGTGGAGTGTGTGTTTAACTGACCATCTAGGTAACACTTTAGTTTAGACCAAAAGATGGTATAAGCACACTAACTCCGGCCTGATGCGCGAGTGATGGTTCATACACGAAAAAATATTTTGGATTGAAGGATAGATAGATTTTGTAAACGATTGTATAGCAAGTGAAATGAAAACGCATACGCAGTCAGTTAAAGGCTATGATGGTGTCCTATGGCTTGATGCTTTGCTTCTGCACCCCAGAACACTGTGGTTCGTTCTATACAGTAAGCGATATATGCGCTGCGCACTCGCATTTGGGTACTTACCACCAGTACCCACTTTGATAAGGGCATTCCTTCCAGTAGAGATAGGAGGTTATTCAAGAAAACTTCATACAGACGGGTGTACTAAAAAGTATGTCAAAAATCAATTCGCATATACATATGTGTAGTTTGTAACATTCATCGTACCCAGCTTGGCTGCAGGACTGGTCGCCTCGCGGTACTCAGACTCCAGGTGTTCTATGCTGTCTTCTAGCTGTAGCATATCACTGTCTGACACATCACCTGCGTAGTAAGAATTTCAGGGCGAGTCAACATCGGCCACACTCAACCCTACGCACGACGTATGCATGAACACACTGCATGTTGAATGTGATCCTTGGGGTTCTGGTCACTGTAAACTGTACAGTGTGTCCCTCGCACTTAGTAGAACGCAATGCAAGCAGAGTATGAGTGCTGCAACAGGCGGGTGAAAGTGATTGGTACTACGTAAGCTGAGTGACTTGCCACAAATTTATGTAAAGAATCACGTGCGGCAGATTATGAGGGAGACAAGGGATGTAGGGCCGGACGAGACACATTTGAAATTCATACTAAATAAACAAGTACAGTGCTACAGCCCACCTTTAAAGTATCCTCGATGCACTACCACACTAGAATTCCTACGCCTTCTGCGCATAGTGAAGTGGAAACCAATGGAAGCGGTACGCGAAACTTACACACATACCAATGGCTGGGGTGATAGACCCCATCGTACCTTGAGTATGGATGAGGGTGTGGTAGTCTAAATCGTCAGGACATGCGCACGGCAAACACCAATCGCACACGCACTCGAAATGAAAGGCGTGCCGCAGTTGCTTCTGCCGCCGCGGTGTGCCTAGTGGTCAAAGTAAGAAGCAAACGGAGTGAATAAAAGAACTATATGTCTACACTCAACCTTCGTCTGTAACGATACAGGCGAGCCTCTCCACTCTGAACAAAAATGTATGTCTAGACACCGACCACATCTAATGGTATCCTATCACTGTAGGAAAACCTGAAGGGGCGTTCAGAAGCGCACCGGAAAAACAGCAACAAAGGCCAATGTCACAAGTCGCACGCAGTACGGTGCAAGCGCAGAGTTGGTATATAAGATATAGCCTGTGCACTCATACTTTGTTCTTGAGGTTGCAAGTAAGATATGACCAATTCTTCTCCCTTCCGAATATCACGAGCCGCCCGAATTTCGGAGTAGCCCCAAGCTGACGCGTTATCCTCACTGGTGACAGATGAGGAAAAATAAAAATTGTGGCAGCATTATACACCTCGCTGACAAATACTATCGGACATACCATCTCCTTTGTTGTGACATGGAAATAAACAATGACTGCTGACAGTATCTGCTAAATAGCTAAGCAGCCCTACGGTGTCCTACAACCACCAAACAGTGGCCGGATTTCGGCCGTATACTGTACTGCACACTTCCAAACAATGACTGTTTGACATGTGTACGATCTGTAGTAGGAACAACATTGGCATCTTCCGGTGAGTCTATATAGTCGTGTCGGTATCAATTCTACGTGTAAGTGGGCGTTGAACTGTAATCGCTTTCGATGTATGTTTACACATGATCAGCGGCCATGTTGGCTATTGCCTTTTAAAAATTCGAGGTGCATGCTATGTGATCGTAATGTAAACGCAAACCATTTACATGCTCACGAGCACCACGCCCAGCTTGGGTATCTGACCCAGTGGGCGTGGAGTACGCATTCGAATCGTGAACGTGTGAGAGACGGAAAGTGTAGCAACTCTAGCAGGTAGGGCGATGTGCGCCGAATGACGTCTGATAATTCGTTGCAAACGTCAGAACAGATGCGCTCAGTAGGCGAAGAGGTTTTGGGTCTGAATGTGGGGTTCGATTCGGATCGACTCGCGTTGGATATACTTACGGGAGTTGTAGGCCCGAGGTCTTTACACAGTTGGGGTTGCACGAGTGGTTGACGATGGACAGGTGAAGATACAGTCCACTCGCAAAGCCGTTAAACTGCAGCGCCAGGAGCATACGGGTCAAGGCATCGGTACCGTTCAGTCCTCTGTTGAATACACAGTGATGTGAAATAAGCACACTATCAAACAGACGCAGTTGCGTAGTAATCGCGACTCAGAAACACGCGGTTGGGAGAATGCGAGCAAAGATGGTTACAATCACATGTGCATCCAGCAGCATGCAGTATATTTTGTTCACTACTGTGTTTGGATTGACCAAATAACGACTGACGAGAAACAACATACTCCTCATTCGACTGGTACTCATCGTCTATCAGGTTGCGCACACAGTTGGGCAAAGGCACGCCTTGGTCCTCGTATGTGTTTCGTACCATTTTCTGTATACCTGCTAGCTGAAGCAACCCCATCAGGAAGAGCATGTATTAGAGGCATCGCTTGTAGCATACTACCTGATTTGGTAATTTTGGTTGAAGTATCGCAACGTCCCGCACCCAATCAGATAGCGTCACAGTGGCGTATGATGGCAAAGTTCAATAAACTTTGGCTAATGCTGATATCTCATACGGATGGTGGCATAGAACAATTGCCACATTCTGAATTGGCTACATTTGAAGTAGCAGCATGCGCCCGACAACTAAGAGCGAGGAATATATATCACTATCTGGCACCTGGATTATATCTCGTTAGACTATATAAACACACCGAATTTAAAAATGCATTGCAATCCCGTACGCATAAACAATATTGTACGCTGCGAAATATGAACGTACACACAATACGAAAAGACAATCAACTTCAGAATAAAGGAAGAAAGTCATTGTCATTCTGGTGCAGGAAGAACAGTCACAAGGTTGCAATAGGTCGTGCATGTCTCAGTCACGACAGCTACAAGGCAACTCACCAACTCCCCATTGCTGGCTCGGAATTCAGCCAATACCTCAGGGGCGACATCGCACGCCTCCAGGGACACAGGGCATAACAATGCCAACTGTGATGGGAATCGGAGAGAGGATAAGAGGTTGTTAAGCAATGTTGCATGAGAATAGCAAATGCCGCGCAGTCGATACAATGAGGTGCGTATAGATTGCGAACTATGCAGATTTGAAGACATTCGAGTGTTTTCTCTGCAAAATTATACCGTAGTGGCACGCTTGATATGATAAATCCCATAATCCGGTTCATATTTCCGTACACCAGACTTCAAAAGTATTCGAGAGTTCAACAACACTTTATGCCACTACACGCAGATCTTCTGCAGAATACAGCAGCACTGTAGACCCATATCGAATTGAATGAGACACGCAATACATATCGAATTGCATGATACGTGTATTACCTGCCCCAGTTTTTTCTCGATTGCTTCGTTGAGACTGTTTGTGTCATCGACAGCCACAGAAGGAGTATAGGTGCCCGTTAACAACTCGCGCACCGCTACGGCGTCCATTCGTTCTCCGCCTCTTTGATAAGGTTTGCACACACTCCAGTCGAGGATGGGCCGTTCAGACATTATAAGAGAACCCGCGGCGATATCGTCTGCCGCATAGAAGGCTCGCCCACCACCGATTGTTGCTATATTCCTTTTGAAACTAAATTGAGAACAAAAACGAGATGACCGGTCGAGTAAATACATTTATGCGGATACTCGCAAAAGCGAAAAATAAAAATGTGTGTATTAGCGCATGGTAAACCTATCTTAATTCATATACATATACATATACATTACAAACATACTTATATTTATATATATTATCATACATAGACACACACACACACACACACACACATACATATATATATATATATATATATATACTACACACACACATACACATATATATATAACGTTAACTTACTACTAATAATTAAGTTAATTAACTACTACTATTAGTTAACGTTTA